AGAACACACACAACTAAAAAATTTTGTAAGCACTTACATATATTTATGTGTGTGTGTAGGTGTGTGCCACAGTACAGATGTTGCAATCTGAGGACAACTTGGGTTGGGGGGGGGGTCAAAGTTCTTCTAGCATGTGGGTCCTGGTACTTGAACTTGGGACTTTGTGTTTGTGGCATGTACCATCTTGCTGGCTCTTGGAGTGTTTTTGTTTTTTTGGTTTTGTTTTTAAATTCCATCCTATCCTGGTCTTTTGGAAGCTGTTACAAGACACTGATGGAAGTACTCAAAATACTGAGTAGTGGTCAGTGTTTTTTTTTTTTTTTTTCCTGCAACTCAGCAATCCATAAAACTGGCTTCTAGGAGGTACATCCTGGAGGCAATCCATAGGCTCTCCCATTGCAGAAAGATGGAGCAAACCTACTCTTAGGAGTTTGGTACCGGAGTTCAGGAGGTTCCAGTCACAGCCAGCTGCTAGTCTATCTAGGCACCCCTTCTTAACTCGTAAGGTCATCAGCTTTGTACAGAGAGAGCAGGGCAGCCTGAGTCCTGTTAACCATAAAGTTGAAGATGTGTATGGTAAGGTGAGATCTCTGATTCTGGCAGACTGTGCTAGTTACATCTGTCCCCATATATCCCAAAGTCTTGTCCCTTCAGGTATGATCCACGTGTGCTCAGGGTCTGGGGGGCCCTAAGTTGGGACCTCTCTGTATCTTCACCATCATGATGGTTCAGGTGCTCATGTTACCCTGGTGGGTATGTTAGTGCTTCATTTTACACAAGGACAAGCAGTTCAGAGAATGTTTATGGCCCAAGCGTTGGCTGCTGTTTGCATTTGTATTCTCTTGGGGTTACTATTATTATGATGAAGCATCACGACCAAAAGCAATTTGGTGGGGAAGTGTCTTACTTAAGGTTTTTATTGCTGTGATGAGACATCATGACCATAGCAATGGTGGTGTGTAAGCAGACATGGTGGCAGGCAGCAGAAAGAGAGAAAGACACTAGGCCTGGCATGAGCATTTGAAAACCCAAAGCCTACCCCCCAGTAACACACTTCCTCCAACAAAGCCACACCTACCCCATCCCCAACAAAGTCACAGCTGAGCCTATGGGGCCATTCTTACTTAAACCACCACTATTGGGGTCCAGGAGTTGCCTCACAAGCCACAGGAACATGGATCTCAGTCAGACAGGGATAGTTTATTGAGCACATGTTCAAGACTGACTAATCAGGGCCATAGTCCAGACTCAGAAGCTGAACTGTGGCATTGAGTTAAGATCCTATAGAGATTTTAAGTCTAAAATCCACAAACATCTATACCAAGTTATTCCACCAATCAGGATTTTGGGATAGGGGATTTCCTTGGGAAAATGTCTTTGGTATACACTTATACAGCTTCCATTGACTGGGGTATTCAACTGTGGCAGGGAACTTGCCTTGTCTAACATTAATGTCTTAACTTGCCAACCAGGATGTCACTTACCGACATACATGTCTTTTTCTGACAAGTAGGATGTCAGTTCCCAGGGAGATCTTGGAAACTTAAACATTGCTCAACACTGCTCAAAATGGAAGTCTTATTCCAAATAGTTTCTTGTATTTGTGCAAGTATTTCTCTTATACTAAGGCCCAAGCTTATTGTGAGTAACTATACAAAGCAGTTCTACTGATTTTTATTGTGATTGGTTTCCAAGGGCACAGAACCTAACAGAATTTGTAGCCAACTCAGGCATGAGAAAGTTTCCTAGTAACAGCAGAAACAATATATGAGAAAGTTTCCTTATAATATTAGTAACAGCAAAAAAAAATGGGAGGCTAACCAAGTAACAGTTACCTAGGACTTAACAACCACAAAAGGATTTATCTGGTACACAATTCCACATCATAGTTTATCATTGAAGGAAGTCAAAGAACTCAAGCAGGAGATGATCCTGGAGGCAGGAGGTGATGCAGAGGCCATGGAGGAATGCTGCTTACTGGCTTGCTCCTTATGACATGCTCAGCCTCCCTTGTTTGTCTGTTGAGACAAGGGTTCTCTGTATAATCCTGGCTGTCTTGGACATCACTTTGTAGACCAAGCTGGCTTGGAACTTAGAGATCCACCTGCCTCTGTCTCCAGAGTGCTGGGATTAAAGTTGAGTGTCATCATGTTCAGTATCAGCTGCCTTTCTTATAGAACCCAGGGCCACCAGTCCAGGGGTGACCCCACCTACAATGGGCTGGGCCCTCCCAAATCAATCACAAATTAAGAAAATACCCTACAGGTTTGCCTACAGTCCTAATTTATGGAGGCATTTTCTCAGTTAAGGCTCTCTCCTCTTAAATGACTGGCTTTTGTCAAATTGACATAAGACTAGCTAACGAGGTATGTTCTAGAGAGCATAACTATTTTCCTATGTGGAGTGGCTTCAACTTCTAACTTTTCATCCTTTAAAAGTGGCTTAATTTACACTGATTAGGAGTCCTAGCACCTTGGGGAGGGAGGAGGTGAAGGGTCTTTGTGCTGTTTTGTTTTCTGAGTTTGACAACGGAAAGAGAAGCCATTGGTCTTCCAGAGCTAACTTGCCATCGTGGGCTAACAGACAGGACTCCCCAGGGCTCAGGAGCCAGCCCTGTTGCAGTAGCCCAGATCAACTAAGATAGGTTGCTTGACCCCCTCCAGAATGCTTCCAGGATGCGGGCAGTGGTGGTACACACCTTTAATCCCAGCACTTGGGAGGCAGGGGCAGGCGGATTTCTGAGTTCGAAGCCAGCCTGGTCTACAGAGTGAGTTCCAGGACAGCCAGGGCTACACAGAGAAACCCTGTCTCAAAAAACAAACAATAAATAAATAAAATTAAAAAAAAAAGAAAAAAGAAGAAAGAAAGAAAGAAAGAAAGAAAGAAAGAAAGAAAGAAAGAAAAAGAAAGCTTCCAGGAATGAATACTGTCTGGTCTACCATCTGCTCTGTGAATCAATCACCATTGCTGGAGTCATTGCTGAGTCTCCATCAATTGTCAATGGTCATTTAGTGAGCCCACTGCTGATACTCAGAGGCAGTCAGGGTTCTGGTGAAGGTTGAGGATTTAAAGTTGACCATCAGTTCTGGCCTACATAACTGGTTGGCCAGGCACTGTAATGTCTCTGGTACAGCCCATTGACTGTGTCTGACTTGTATCCTTGGAGCAACCTAGGATACCCCAAGCACCACTTGTAGCAGAATTTTAGCAGAGCCATCATATCTGGCATGGAATTCTAGAGTCACTTAGGCTTTGAACTAGCCTTTTGTAAATAGTCAGTGGTTATTATATGAGGTTTATGGGGTTGCTCTTCCAAAGGACTTAGACCGTTTGCATAGTATAGTCCAGAGACATACCTGGCAAACCAGGAAATATCTTATGGCTAAGAATTGCTTACGCAATGGTTCCTCGTGACCATGAGCCTTTCCACCTGTGCCCAAGTTTCCTGAAATAATGGACTCTTATATATGAATACATGCCTATGCCAATAGCTCTGGCTAGTTTCCATTAGCTCATAACTGAATTATCCCATTTAGATTAGTATAAGTTGTGCCTCATGGGTAGTTACCTTTCCTTCAGTTTCATGTGACCATCTTATTCATGTGAGGTGGGGTGATCTTCTTTGCCTGACTCCCAGAATACCCCTCTCCCCCCCACTTCTCTCTTTCTCTCTCTCTGCTGGACTGCCACCTTCTATTTCCTGCCTCAGGTCATTGGCATAGGCTTTTTTATTGACAGATGATGCTTCCATGCAGTTTACAAGAGATTCTCTCTATAGTTCCTTCAGACTACTCCTAGATCAGGCAAGAGGTTTTGGTATGCACAAATTGACTTGCTAAAGATGCCTTTTGTGTAACAATATATAAGCTTTGCAATGTGGATTCTGGGTTCAGTCCCGAAGAGGCTGATTCCCCTGATGCTGAGAAACCTAAATTCATCCTGCAATGTCTCTCTTCAATCTTCAAGTGTGTTGTAACCCAGAACACTGACACTTGTCACATCCAACCTGGCTTTCTGGAACCTGTACACAGAGTTCACAGGGAAATGAAGGGGAAGGTGCTGGATCGAGGACATAGGGTGTGTGTGTGTGTGTGTGTGTGTACGTATCTCATGAACATGAGAACAAACTTTAGCATTCCAGGAATGCAACGGTGAGGCAGGAGTGTGTGCATAGAGAACTGGAGAGGTCTGGATATCTATCAGCCTCCTCAACCCAGATTCTCCAGCTGTCAGGGCTCAAACTAGTATTCAGTACATAACTACTGGCAGCCTCCTGTCTCAGCACCAGCCAGCCAGTCTGGCCAAATGACCAAGCTGTACTGCCTCTCCTCCCCAGGGCAAGGAAGGAGGCTGAGGGAGAGGGAAAACCCGTCTTAGAGCAATGTCCTTGAGCATAATGATGGTATTCAAGAACTGAGTGGAAAATTTGGTGCGGAAACACAGGAACTATTTTTATAAGGACGGCTGTCCCCGGGGCTTGGGGGCTGTCGCGGGTTTGGAGTGCGGGATACACCTACGCCCATCAACTGCGCTGTATAAAGGGGTCTTCGTGGTTAGAGGGGCAGCGAGGGAGGGCTGAGTGAACCCCCAGGCCCGGAACTTAACTGCGTTAAGAACAGACAAGAGTACATCCTGGGCCAGAAGGTGGCTGGTGGTCCTAATTCGTGGTGAACTCACGGGTCATCCTTTCTCTGGGACTGGCCTCCCAGTCTGGCCCGTGATTTGAGATCGGGAGCACTGCGGTTTTCCTGCAGCCACTTACTGGTTCCGGGAGTGTCAGCCAGACAGTATTAAGTCTCGGGAGTGTCTTGGAGGGATCAGGCAATACTACCCCAGTTCCCTCCAGTGCGCACGCGTCAGCAGCCCTTTGCGCAGTAGCGCGACGCAACCATAGCCACAAATCTGAGACACCTAGGAACTGACAGTGGAGCCCTCCACCAAGCTGCCTAGAGAAGTGCTTCCACCCGCAGACAGTGCACCGGAAGCGGAAGCGGGCCTAGGCCGTCCCTTGAGCGGCCATCTTGGAAGCTGAGCGGCGGTAGCAGCGGAGGGGCTGCGGCGGGTGCGGTGGGCTTAGTCCCAGCGCGGGTGCGGCTCACGGCGCGGGCCCCACTCTTCCGTACCCTGCTCTGGCCTCGACCACGGCGAACCTGAACGCGGCAGCGGCCTCAGGGAGAGGTGAGCGCTCGCGGGCTGCGCGGGGCCTTGGGCCGCTCGTTCGCCCCGCCGGAGCCGGCTGCAGCGGCGGGCGGGGACTCGGGGACTCCACACGTCGGGTCCCGTTCGTTACGTCGCCGGCTGTGCCCGGACCCGGAGCGTCCCTGCGCGGACCCGAGGTCGGTTACTGAGGGCGCTTGGGGTTCCTGGCTGGGGTTGGTCCATCGGGCAGGTTAGGGATTTGGTTTGCCACGCGTCAGATTCTCCCACGAAGAGGCCTGTTGGTTGGTGCACTTGAAGTACTTCGAGGAGGAGCCAGGTTTGATCTTTAAAAACATATCCCGTGAGTTTGTGTTGTGGGGTGGTAGCTGTTGAGTGCCCCCTTTCATCTTGAACAGTTAGAACCTCAGACTACTTAATAACCCCCAACAGGAACGAGTGTGTTCACAGTTATGCCCTTGAGAGTAATATAACAAAACCTTTGACAGTAAGAGTTGGGACTTGGGCCCGGAACAAGATCCTGCCCTTTTCTGGGGTCGGCTCCGGAGGGTGAGGACGGTCGACGCTTACCATTCACCTTTGCTAACTACGGACTCTCAGCCAATGACCTCACTTCCTTTTTAGTGTACATCACTTAGGTGTATGTTTAACCTAAGTCACGTTCTCAACATTTTATCAAATCCAGATAGACAACTAGAAGAGATAAGGCCACAGCACATTGTACTAACAAGTGCATAAGAATATGTATACCTTTTTTAAAGTAGTAGTACAAGGCTTTATTAATGCCAGGTGTGTGTGATGGTATTAATGGTAAATTTCCCTAAATTTAGCTTTAGGGAAAAAAGGAATTTTAGGATTTTATTTAATTAGAAAGTCCTGTGTATGATCTTCAGCCAGAGATAGGTCTAGGTCCTAGAACTTGGGAGTCATTACTCTGCACATCATGATCTTCCTGTACTCAGCGTCAGTTCAATTCTCACGTTTGTGTAAGAAAGTGGTGTTATGAGCCTCTGACTTCCTCCAGCCTATGAAGTAATCCTGGAGAAGGTAAAACTCCCTAAAAATCCTGGCCTTGGGTGTGTCATATACTCTTCTGATCAGTCAGACCAAGGTCTTATTCCACACCGTCACCTAGCCTGTGTGTAGCGGTGTAGAAGAGAGATGTCCAAAAGAAAAAAGAAGTACCACCTTGGCACAATGATGAAGTACTGAAAAAAGACTGTTACCCTGCTAGTGACTGGCTGTTTCCTGTCACCTTCCATCCCCTGGGAGAGTCATGGAAGGTATTGCTGTTCTGATTGAGGAAAAGGAGGAGCAGTTAGGGCAACAGAGTAGTAAATCATAAGTATGATTTTATATGCGTAACAGCAAGTTTGAGGCTGGAGATGCAGCTTAGTGATAACATACTTGCCTGTTCCACGTGAGGCTCTAGGTTTAATTTCCAGTGCTGAAAGGAAGTTAGTGTCGGATGCCTTTAATATCAGCACTTTGGAGGCAGAGGCAGAAGGATCTTTGAGTTTGAGGTCTGCCTGATCTACATAGTGAGTTCCAGGACAGCCAGAGCTATACACTGAGACCTTGTCTCAAAAAAAAAAAAAAAAAAAAAAGTTAAAAGCAAGTAAGAGAAGGACTATTGTCCTGTGATTGACTAGGCCAAAAAAAAAAAAAAAAAAAAAAAAAGTAAAGATACAGTTTTTCTATGTAACCCTGGCTCTCCTGGACCTCACTCTGTAGACAAGGCTGGCCTTGAACTCACAAAGGTCTGTCTGTCTCTGCCTCCCAAGTACCAGGATTAACAGTTTGTGGTTCCAGTGCACTAAACTATTTTTTTTTTTTAAAGACAGGATCTTAAAAAAAAAAAAGACAGATGTATGTATTCCAGGGTATCAGGCTATATAGCCTACGGTGACTTTGAACTTATGATCTTCTGTTTCTACCTACTAGGATTATAGATAAACACCAACCATGCTTTACTTATGTGGTGCCAGGAATTAAACCCAGGTCTTCATGATGTCAGGCAAGCACTTAACCAACTGCATTACATTTATAGCCTGGCACAGCTAACTGCTAGCTTCCTCTGTGTGTCCACTAACTTTGATTATGCATCCTGTCTGGTCACGTAGCTGAATACAAATACGGTTGTGTTGGAATTACTCAATGAAGTTATGTTTTATATGTTGGAGTATTAACTTCAGGGGTGAACGAAAGAGAAAGAACAAGGCTTGTAGTTCTGCTTGTGGTCATTGGATATTGCTTTGTTTCTTACTAGGTGCTGGGCAAGTTGAGCTCTCTGGCCCACATGGCTTCTGAAGCTAAGAACTTGGGGACAATGCTTTCTGGAAGCATTTCTTGGCCATGCTGGACTGTAACCTTGTTCCTGGTGTGAGCATTCTTGGATGCATCAGGCAAAAGCCCTTGATTCTGCCAGAAAGGTTTTTGTGCACTATACTCTTAGACCATGGGGGGTGGTGGTGGGTGGTGGTGGTGGTTGGTGGTGGTGGTGGTGGTGTGGTTGTGAGGTTGTAAAGGACAGGAAAGGAGGCATTTGACTAGGGAAATCAGAGAGGCCCCTGGTGGTTATAGTTCAGTATAGATAGGGAAGGATGTAGGTGTATTCTCCACCAGTCCAAATTGGACTGAGAAGGTTGAGTTTTGTTAGGTGCTATGAAAACTAGGTCTAGGTGGGTTTTTTTTTTTTGTTTTTTGTTTTTGTTTTTTTTTAGGGTTTGGCAGAAAAAAAAGATGTTGCCATTTATCTGCTGTCTTTGCTGGGGAGTGGATGGTTAAAGTGCATTGATGTTAGCGTACAGGACAAACTGAAGTGTGAAGAGCTTGGAGGGTCTTGTAGTTGACAGGAAAGTAATGTGTTCCTGCATTGTGGTTTCTGGGATTGGAAGGAAGTGAACAAGTCATACATGGATTGGATTCTATCAGATATCCCCTCCCCCATTGAGAGGCCACATGGGTACCTTTGCTGAGACTTCACATTGTGGTAGATAACCCTAGCCAAGCCATTCCCTCTGTGGGCCCTGAGGGTACAGAATAAGCACAAACCAAGTCCTGGTTATCATGAGGTATCAATACTTGTAGAGGAGGCAGATACAGTAGTCTGTGGTGATGGTGTCTACCAAGAAATTAGTCAGGTTAAAGGTTGTTAACTCTCAAATAATATGTATAAGCAAATATCGAAGAGAGTGAAAGAGCATGTGGCTATTTGCTGGGAATAATTCATACAAAGGCTAGGACAGGTTAGGTTTATCTAGCTGGGAGATCAGGTTGGGGATTGCTAGCTGTTATTGGTGTTTGATGTTGTCTAGAGTCAATGGTTAAAATGATCAGACAGCACTGTGTGAGACAGGTTAGGGGTAGGCTGGCCTGGTGATGGTGGGAGGAGGAGGAGCAGTGGAGAAGTCTGGGCTTCCAGTGTCACAAGATAAAGCCACCAGTGACTGCTCATGTCGAGCCTGCTCTGTTATAGCCAAGACCATCTATTTTTCATTTAAGTTTAAAATAAATATATTTATTTTTGTCAGTGGGAGATGTATGCCAATGCACGTGCACAGAAGTCAGAGAAAAGCTTGTAATGTCAGTTCTCTCCTTCTGCTATATAGATCCTGGGAATTGAATTCAGGTCATCAGACTTGGCAACAAGTATCTTTACCCACTGAACCATCTCACCAGCCTATTATCTTTATTCTAATTTGTATATCCCCAAATGACCCCATCAATCATTTTAGACTAGTGGTATTCACACTTTATTTTTAGTTGTAGAATTTTTTTTTTATATGTTTCTGTCTTAAATTATGAGGAAAGAGAACAAGTAGGAGCTCTTCTGAATCTGTGACAGTGGGTCCCCTAGTCCCTCCACCACCATTTCTTCCCCATCTTCTGGAATACAGCTGAGGGATCTGAGTCAGATACAGTCTTCCCTCTCTTTGAGACAGAGTCTCGCTGTAGACTGGGCTGGCCTCAGACTCAGATCTGCCTGCTTTTGTCTCCCATGCTCTATGATTAAAGATGTGCACCACCACATCCTTTAAAAGTTTTTGAGTTATATTTATTTATTGTTTGTGGATGCATATGTGTTTATGCATGAGTGTGCATGTCTGTGGACATGTGTGTGAAGGTCAGAGGACAACTTGCAGCAATTAGTTCTTTTCCTTCTGCTATGTGGGTTCTGAGGAACAAGCTCCTTTCATCAGTCTTGTCTAGCAAACACTTTTACCTGTTTACTGAGATATCTTCAAAGCCCCAGTCCCTTCTTTAGCATTTTCATGGGGTCCCTCCCTGTATATATTCTTCACTGCTGCCCTTTGTTGAGGCCCTAGAGTGACCTTACTAAGAAGGTCCTAAGTACCTTAAGGGTATGTACCTAAAACTCTTGGGATTCTGGAAGTTTGGCCTTGCCTCTCTAGCTACTCTTTTCTTTTTCCTTTATTGTTTTTAAACTCCTGCTTGACATATGATCAATGTAGTCCCCTAAACATGCCTTCTCCTCTTCCATGCATCTAGATCTCTGAAAGTCCTTTCATTTCTTTAGCCTCACATTGTCTCTGCCCCTGCTGTTGTTACTTGTGATCAATGATAAATGTATAACAGGCTTTCAGGGCCAGAAGGGCCTGTGAAATGTCCATCATTGAGGTGTTGCTGATCAGAGTTAAAGGATGTAAATAGTTGCTCTTTGGAGCTTGTGCAAACTGGCTTCAGTATGCCTACCCAGGTCCCACTTGACAAAATGTCCCGTGTAAATATTTTGAGGACTGTAATGTAGTTTCATGGTTCTTTATACCTTGCATCTCTGTTAGGTGCTTCATATTCTGTTAAATACATGAAAGTGGGGGGGGGGGCGGTAGGGGCATATAGACAAAGAACTGAGGAAAGGACTTAATGGTGGGTGGGCTGCAGAAAGGGAAGCAGAGGTATTCATCTGCTGAAGTTGTTTATAGTAAGGAAATCATGTGTCTGTTTTGTTGTTTGTAAATAGAGATGCCCTTTTTTCTTTTTTCTTTTTAAAATAGATGAGCAATACCAGCAATAAGAGAGCTCCAACAACAGCAACACAAAGGTTGAAACAGGACTACCTTCGAATTAAGAAAGACCCAGTGCCTTACATCTGTGCGGAGCCCCTCCCTTCAAATATTCTTGAATGGTAAGACTGCATTCCTTCTCATCCTGCACTGGAGTCACTGTCTTGCAGGTTCTGTAGTGGTCTAGCTGATAGGCCTGGTCATGGCAGAGGCAGTTTTGTAACTCCTCATCTGTGGATGGATATTTGAGAGGGCTGTCAATACTCTGGGCTTTGCAATGAATGTCATGTCAAGAATATTATAGTCTTGTTTGGCTTAGGCTAGGGCTAAAAGGAATGTAAATCTCTCAGATGTTGCTCAGGTACATTAGGGTTAGGCTGCCTTTTTTTTCTGACATTGGGAATTAGCTGTCTAGCCTGGGAACATTAGTGGCAACATTGACACTAACCCTTGACTCTGTCCTAGGCCTAGTGCTCCTAACTCTTGAGCTGACAGTGATAGAGCTTGTGGAAAACATTTGGTGCGTGATAGTTCTTTTGGTCCATTAAAAGTGTGAAGTCCCGGGCATAGTGGCACACATTAATCCCAGGACTCGGGAGACTGGCAGGTAGGTCTCTGAATCTCTGAGTTCAAGGCTAGCCTGGCCTACAGAGTAAGTTCTAGGACAGCTGGAGCCACATAGAAAAATTTTGTCTTGAAAAACCAAACCAAAACAAAAAGGGCAGTCATGAGATTTCATGTTCTCCATGGAAATGCTCATTACCAGCTTTGAGAAATGAAATAACAAGACTTGACTCACCAAAAAGCATTTATTACTTACTGGGTGTGGCACATGCCTTTCATCTCAGCATTCAGGAGACTGAGGCCTGTATATGCCAGTACTTACCAGTACTGTGTAGTGAGATCCTATATTTTGTTTGCTTGTTTGTTTTTAAGACATTTTTCTTGCTTTGATGGATTTAATCTTTTACAAAAAAAAAAAAAGCTTTAATGCTTTGCAAATTTTCCAAATCCAGAGGAAAAAATTTTCCTGAATTAAAAAGAAATATTTTGCAGTTTGGATGTTGTTGACAGAAGAAATGCATGAGGGGCCTCTTCGGTGGCGTTAGAATTAACCCTATTCCAGAGATGAAAATTAGATGTGGTCTTTAGCAGATAGTTGGCTGATAATGGGGACAAGTTTCATTGATGGGTTACTTGTTACCTGGTTTGTGGAAATATCTTTGTCGTATGTGGAACTCCTCTTTCTTCATGTGCTTGTCATAGGTCTCTTAAGTCCAGCCTTCCATTTGATTATGTACTAGGAAGGACTTGCTTAAGATTTAAATCAATTTTTTATTGCATTTATTGTGTTTGTGGGGTGAGTACAAATGTGCCACTACATATGTCAGAGGACAGTTTGGGGAGTCAGTTCTCTCCTTCTACCTTATAGAATCCTGGGAATCAAACTCAGGTCATAAGATTTGGCAGTATGTGCCTTTACCCATTAATACATCTCACCAACTCTTAAAGATTTGCTAGAATGAAAAGACCAAACAAAGCAACAAAGGGAAAGAGGTGTGTGGAATGAAGTTCATAGGAGTGCAGACAGAAGCATTGGGCTCCTGACTCTGGGCATTTGCTTGAAGCACACTTAGCTCCCCCAAACTAAGCTTAGACAGCAGGTATGATATGTCACTGAAGAAGCTTGTCAGGCCCTTACTGCCCAGGTTTGTAACTTTGGTTTTCCATTCTAGCCTATTTGTTCCCAGAAATAATGGATCTGAAACTGAACCGTATTTGAATAAATGCTTAGGCCAATAGTCCTGGCTCTATTCCCTAAGTAGCTCATATCTCAATAATCCAGTTTATTCTAGTCTAAGTTCTACTCGTTAGATACTTATCAGATTTATGCATCCATCTCCAGTGCTGGGGCAAATCTACCTTGCCTGACTCTACCAGAATTTCCCTCTGTGGGAACTTTCACCTCCTATTTCCCGCCTCAGCTCATTGGCCATAGACTTTTTTTTATTGACAGGTGAGGCTTCCACACCTGTCAATAAAATTTATACCTGTGTATAAAGATTCTCTCAGCCGGGTGGTGGTGGCGTACGCCTTTAATCCCAGCACTTGGGAGGCAGAGGCAGGCGGATTTCTGAGTTCGAGGCCAGCCTGGTCTACTGAGTGAGTTCCAGGACAGCCAGGGCTACACAGAGAAACCCTGTCTCGAAACACCCCCCCCCCCCCCAAAAAAAAAAAAGATTCTCTCTACACAGGTTCTGTTTGAGTGACCATAAGTGTCTGCCACACACTAAAACACCAAACTCCTAGGAGAAAAGGATTCAACATGAGCTATAATGTGTTTGTCCTCTTTTTATTAGGGTTGTGGGCATTGCCCCCAAGCTGCAGTGTGTCAGGCCTTTTGTGAGAATTCTATATTTTTACAGAATTTATGGTACACAAAACAAGTAATTTGCTTCTCTCTCTCTGTTAGGCATTATGTTGTCCGAGGCCCTGAGATGACTCCTTATGAAGGTTAGTGGAAAATTTGAATCATTACTTTTGATGTAAATGACAGTCTTTTTATTTTGGTTTTGTAGTAGTTAAATTATATTTACTTGAATCTCATCCTCGTAATTCTATTAGGTCCTGGAAATGTTTGTTCATTTTGGTTTTGTTAGACTGTTTGTAACGATCTGCATTTCCCCAGCCTCTTATATTGGTTAGAAGTGGAGAAAGATTTTTTTTTTTAAACGTATATGGGTATTTCCTTGTGTACCATGTGTGTGCCTGGAGCCCACAGAAGAGGGGCTGAGCTTCTGGAGTTCTAGATTGTGATCTACCATGTAGTTGCTGGGAATTAGACCTGGGTCCTTTTGTAAGAACAGAGTGCTCTTAATTGCTGAACCATCTCACCAGCCCAGAGAAATACAGATGGGAATAAATAGTAAGACATCCTTCTGTTTTTAAGGCCAAAGTGGAGAAAAGGTTTTGATAGAGGCATGTGAAGCTTAGGAAGATCCTGAGGGTTTTTATAGGACCTATCAGGGTCTCACCTCTCTTTATTGCTTTCAAGTGTTGACCTGGTGGCCTGTTCCCTAAGGTTACCAAATACCACTGGGGTCCTCAGTGATTTTGACAAATCAGTTCTTGAAACATCAGTCAACAGATTTCTAGGGTCCTGTGGCAAGATTGACATTTCTAGGCAATCCCAGGTCAGAGCACTGGCCAGATGGGTAGTGCGTCTGCTTTCAGCCATCAGCCTTAACTTCAGATGGCAAAAGCAGCAGGCCTTCACCTAGTAAAAATCTTGTGGAACACTGAGGTGCTGGTCTGTGAGGCTCTGAGTTCCATTCTCAGCACAAACAAAAGAGAAAGAAAAAAACACTGCTTGGAATGTTTGGTTGAGAGCTTGGGTGGTTGAGAATAAAAAGGGCAAACTCTTACAGGTTAGCTTGGCTGATACTTCTTTAACAGGTTCTTCTTTGGTCCAGGTGCCCAAGTTTTGGGGTAATTTGTTTTGGAGAATGAGTCTGCATGGGCTATGGGGGAGATACATGTGTGTGCATGTCATAATGATGGTGCTGACACCAGAACTTGCTTGTACCCCATAGCAGCAGAGTGTGGATGAAATGAGGGAGGCATATAGGCCGTGCATCTTGAGGAGTCCTTGAAATTCCTTTTGGTCAGTCTCTAAGAGATGAGCTTCCAAATAGTTGGTAAAAATAATATAAAATACTTTGTGTGTTTGACATGCATGCATATATAGAAAGAAGTCATAGTTATCTCTAGTGGGATACTATGGGTACTACTTTGAGTTTTGAAGTTATTTTGGGTTTTTTAAATTTTTAAATATATTTCTGTATGTGTGTATGTACACATAAGTATATGTATGTGGCACCATTTGTATGCAGGAGCTCAGAGGTTAGTAGAGGTGTTGAAGTCTCTGTAACTGGAGTTATAGACAGTTTTGAATAGCTATGTGGGTGCTTGGAACCAATGCTTGGAACCAAAACCAGGTCCTTTGCAAAAGCAGTAGGTACTCTTAAGTGCTGAACCATCTCTCCAGCCTGCTTTTAAATTTTAAACTAAATAACATTTAATCACTATGTGACAAGATCTCTCTTAGCACCAGACCAACCAAGGCTTGCTGATGTGTGGGGATGGGCTGGAGAGGGTAGATCTGAAGGATGTATAGGCAGAAAGCCTTGGAGATTGCCAGATCTTGCCAACTCAACCCTGGCCTATTTCGTAATTTTTAACTCTGGTATCTCAGCTATCAATGTTGGTAACATCTTTTTATCGTCTTTGGGTATTATCCCTCAGGCTGCCAGTTTACTGAACCTCTTTACTGCATCTTCTCAGCTGTCCCTACTCAATGGGACTAACCTTTGGTAGGTGTGTAAGGAATCCTTGTCTTGGTCAAGAGCTTTGCTCAGTCCTTAGTTTCTTGTCCCCTGGTATATGTTGCTATTGATGACTGGTTTTCTGATGGGCTCTTTCTCCTTGGTTTTTGAGCTTTTCTGTCCCTTCCTTCTTGCTTTCCTAGTGGCTCCTCTGCAACTCCACATTTTTGTCCTGATCTCTGGCAGTCCTATATCTAGTGCTCTTGGACATACCCATCCCAAGAATACAAAATTGACTTCCTATGAAAAATTGGCTAAAAATTTACTATTAATTGTGGATTTAATGTGAATCATGTTTTAAGAACGTTAAAGGCTCACTCTAAACTTTACATGAAAGGACAAAGGACCTAAAGTAGATTCCAGAAATTTTTTTGAAAGGCATCTATGGTTCTGTGTTCTGTGTTTCTGTTCCTAGACTTGGGCCATGTGGCTCATCCCTCATAGACTCTTCTTGGGTAGGCTTGTAGAAGGCCTTTTGCTGACTCCATCCCATGGCAAGAACTGTACTTTGATTTCAGGGGGGAGGCTCTGTTTTACTGTGGTCATTTGGTAAAAATATTCTTCATGCTTTGAGGGTGAGGCCTTTGGCTACCCATATACACTATTTGTAATTTAACCTGTATCATAAGTTAGGGATATACCTCAGTAGTAGACTTCTTACTTAGCATGTGCAAAAAGCCCTAGGTCTAATCACCAGCATAACCTATCAATAAGTATTGTGTATTTATACACAATCACATTTCAGTGTGGGTGTGAGTACACATGTGTGTGCTGGTGTACTCACTTATGTGAGGAAACTAGAGGAGGGTGTCAGGTCTCTCTGTTCCATTTGAGGTAGAGTCTCCCTGAACCTGGAATTCTCATTTTTCTGCTCAACAAGCCCCAGCAACCTTCATTGCTGGAGCTGCATGCGTACACGGAACCATACCATCTTGTTCTGTGGGTTCTACAATGCAGACTCTGATCTTAATGCTTGTATAGCCCATTCTTAATTTCTGATTCATCTCTTCAACCCTCATTTGTGTTGTATAAGTAGTTATCTGATGTCCAGTGGCTTGTTGTTTTCTTATCTAGTTTGCACTATGTTACATGTGGTGTAGATTTCTCCAAGCTCATGCCTGACATCCATTCTTGTGGTCCTTTTCTTTGAAATGCAAGTAGGTGCAAGTGGGTTCATCCCTGCAGACAAATGCTGGTGCTAGGAATATATTTGCTAGGAACCAAATGATGTAGTAGAGGAGGCAGGGATCTTCCACTTCAAGTTGTCTTCTGCTGACTCAGTTCTCTCTAAGGGAAGAACGTGAAGATTTAAATTGTTCTATAGCCGTAGGGGACAAGTGGTTGTTAGAGATTCCTTGGGTATAGGTATAATAGATGGAGAGTCAAATACTGGGGGGATAGGCTCAAGTGTTGGACAATAGCATAAGCCCCGGAGAATAAAGTCAGTAGTTGGTTGAGCCTGTGAGCCAGCATAGGGAGAGGGCATTGGGAGACCATGGGCTTGGGATGCCAGCTCAAAACTGGAGTTGAGAAGCAGTTGCATTGGATGTTGACAAGGCTAATACATTTTATTTTTCTTTTGGTGTAGGTGGCTATTATCATGGAAAACTAATTTTTCCCAGAGAATTTCCATTTAAGCCTCCTAGTATTTACATGATAACCCCCAATGGAAGATTTAAGTGCAACACAAGGTAAGCTTCCTGGTGATGCAATGCTTTGAGCTGTCTGTGCTCATGGGAAATGTGCATTCTTGCTTACAAAATCACTTTCTTTCAGGCTGTGTCTCTCCATCACAGATTTCCACCCAGATACATGGAATCCAGCGTGGTCCGTTTCCACCATTCTAACAGGGCTCCTGAGCTTTATGGTGGAGAAAGGCCCCACCCTGGGGAGCATAGAGACATCGGACTTCACGGTGAGGTGTGGCAGCGCCTCGCCCGGGGCCTTGTGGCACCGTGGCCTCCAACCTTTCATCCTGGGCTGATTGATTCTGTCCTGAGACATGGGACAGTTTTCCTCTTGAGCAGGTGGAGGCTATATTGGTTTCCCACCAACCAGTTCCCTGTTCCTGGCCACATTGTAGAAATATCTCCTCTTTGGCTGCCTCAGACCATGGCATCTCTGTCTCCAACTCTGCTTTTGTTTTTTGCTAAGCATTACTGATACTCCTGTACTCCTCAGAAGACTTTGTAAGGCTTGATGAGGAGACACGGAACACATGTTTCCTGCTTGTTTTATTTCTCTAATGTTTAGAGAATCATGTTTAATGTTAATCGATAACAAAATATAAATAAGCCTTCTTAAGACTAATTTTTGAGAAAAAGAAGCATTTTAGGTGCTTTCTATGATATTGACTACAGGAGTGTTTTTGAGATTTTGTTTTGCTTTGCCATTAGGATCACATTATTAGCATAGGTTGTCTGGAACTCACCTATGTAGAATAGGCTGGCATTGAATCTGTAGTGATTCTCTTACCTCAGCCTCCTACGTGCTGGGATTGCAGGTATGCACCACCATATCCAACTCTTGTTTAGAATTTTTTTTTTTTTTTTTTTTAAGTAAGCTGGGCAGTGCTCATTCACTCCTTTAATTCTAGCACTCAGGAGGCAGAGGCAGGTGGATCTTTGAGTTTGATGACAGCCTAGTCTATAGCGTCTGTTCCAGGCCAGGTTGGCCAAGACTATACAGACAAAAAAAAAAAACAAAAAAAAACAAATTAAAATTATCTTTCTGGCTGATAATTCCCTTCTCTTTCTTCCTAGAAAAAACAGCTGGCAGCACAGAGTCTAGTGTTTAATTTAAAAGATAAAGTCTTTTGTGAATTATTTCCTGAAGTTGTGGAGGTAAGAAAGCAAAAGTTGGAACCTAGTTTTGTCTTCCTTTATGTTAAAAACACTTGCAGATTTGATTGTTTCCAAAGAGAAACTGTGTTTGTGTGCCTACTGCTGTGTTCCTGTATGTGTTGAAGAGGAATTACAGGCCCTCCTGGTTGCTGTAGGACATAGAGGTGTCTGTGCTGGGCTTACCTCCAGATGTACACACTATTGGGTGACAGAGCTAGCTCTTCTTCAGGACCCTACAGTGCAGGAGAGACAGAGCCTAGGGATTGGGGTGACTCTGAGGAACATATACAAGTGTTAGGGACTGAGTCTGTCCCCACAGAGGCATGAAGCTTGCTGATCAGTAGCTGTCCCTCAAGAGTTCCACCACCAGTGGCCAGGAGGTACATCAGTTGACTCCTACAAGGGCTGGGCATGTACTGTGCCACAAGTGTTCCCTGGTCTGGGCTGGACAGTAGTGTAGTCCTTTATGACTCACTGTTATTCAGCATTGCTGCCACTTGGCTCAGGCACAGAGTAGGGATTTTGACACCTTGTTTGGTTTCTTTACCTGTAAAATGGGATGAAAAGCTATTTTCAGATTAGGATCTCATGCAGAGGAATGGAGAATTGTATTCTGGGTGATAGATCTGAGATTATAAAAACTTGAGTTCTGCTTCCAAATGAATAGGTTAAGACAACTGAGGGTTTTTGTGTTTTTCTCTCAGGAAATTAAACAGAAACAGAAAGCACAAGATGAACTAAGTAACAGGCCCCAGAATCTTCCTTTGCCAGACGTCGTTCCTGATGGGGAGATGCACCGTGGCCAGAATGGGATCCAGCTCCTCAATGGGCATGCACCTGCTGCTGGCCCAAACCTTGCTGGGCTCCCACAGGCCAACAGGCATCACGGACTCCTGGGCGGCGCTTTGGCGAACTTGTTTGTTATAGTTGGGTTTGCGGCCTTTGCCTACACAGTCAAGTATGTGCTGAGAAGCATAGCACAGGAGTGAGGTTCACAAGCCACAACCTACAGTTGCTGCTGAGGGACACAGGGGCCAGAGCTTGATGCAGGCGTGACGGACATGCTGCTGAGCACAGGGTGGCCTGCCGGACTCCTGGGCTTCACTTTTTAAAAACCTTAAAAAGAAAGCAAAAACCAAAATGTGATCTGGAGATTGGAGGTTCTTGACTCCCTCTTGAGGTTGACATGGACAGTGCCACTCACGCTTTGGTTTTATTGCTTATCTCCTGTGTTGTCTTTTGAACCTGTTTAGTAAACCTGTTTTGTTTGTTTTGTTTTGTTTTTCATTTTATTAGATTTGGTCACTTAAAAATATAAAACTTTAATGCCTATCAAATATTCTGTGTGTGTTCTTAGTGGAGGAGCTGAAGGCCTCCAGTGGGGCTAAATGGGCTGGCTGGTGGCAGCTGTAGGTGGGAGGGTCTAGGAGAGGACTGGTTTGGTCTCACTGTAAAACTGCTTATGAGTGAGAGGAAAAACCCACACAAAATGCTAGTTCTGTTTTCTGTTAAGGTAGAAGAATCAACCTGCTCTCTGACCACAGTGTTACACTTAAAACAGTGTCTGAGGACTACAATGAAGGCTTGGGGGTTGGCCTGGGTATTTCTGTCAACCTTAGTACCTTTCTATTCTGTCAGCTTCTTTGAGTGATGGAGAAGTAGGAACCCTTGGTACCTCTAGCCTTTCCTCTGAGTCCCTTAGTCTAGTTGGCCAGAAGCCAACCTCCTATGTTGGCAGACAGTGGAGAACTCAAGACCCAGTGGACTGGGTCTATGTATTTTGATGCTTCTCTAAGTTCTTTCATTTATCTTAAAGATAGGCTGCACCATCCTTTCCAGGTGACCTATGTTAGATGTTGATCTCTACAGATCATAGAAAGAGAAACTGCCCAGAAAACACACCAGGTTTAAGTAAGCTGTTAAGCTTTCAGCTTTTAGTCGCTTGACTCCCTTACGGCCGTCATCTTTTTGGTATTGTGTTTAATGTATTTGCAGTAGTTGTTTGGGAAAACTGGCATCTGTAAGGCACCAGGTAGAGGCAGTGACATTGTCTGTGTTGGGCACCAGTCATCCCCAGGGGCTCCAAAAAGGCTTCTAAGCCAGCCTCCTATCAGGGACCAATGGTAAAACTGAAGTGCACCCATGTGATCATCTTTGACTTAGCTCTGTAATTTATAACTAGTATATATAATGTCCCTTCCCTGGTAGGGTCATTCCCAAGGGTCATGCTTGGCTTGGGGGAGGTTATGTTGCTGATGCCAAAAGATGGATTGACAACCCATGCAGCTAAGGACTGAGCGGTGTCTATGCGTGGCATGGTCATAGTGGGTGGAGCCCTACAGACATGTGCTTCCTTCTAATGGTAGACATTAGGTCTTCCCTGGACTCAGAGTGCTCCGTTGCATTTAAGTAATTTTAGTATCAGTTCCAAATTCTTGTTTCCTGAAGTTCTTGTAAGACAGAACATAATCAAATTTAGTTCTCTAAAATCTTAGCTCTTCCTCTTTCCAGCCCCCCAGCACTACCTCTTGTGGGAGTTTGGGGTTTCAAGATAGGGTTTTTTTTTTCTGTATCCCTGGCTGTCCTGGAACTCACTCTATAGATTAGGCTGTCCTTCATCTCAGATCCACATGCCTTTGGCTCCCAAGAGCTAGGATTCAAGGTGCAGGCCTCCACTGCCCAGCTGAAATCTCAACTCCTAATAGCCCAGAATGAAGGAGAAAATCTTAGAAAGTGCTAATTCTTACAGTAGAAGTAAAAGGCAACCTGCTCTCTGACCACAAGGTGTCGCACTTAGTGTACGACTGAAGAGTGCTGTGAAGGCTTGGCAGGTTAGCCCTAACACTTCTACCCTCTTCTACAGGACCCAAAAGTATCCACAGTGTTTTATATGCTGAATCCAAATAAAAGGTGACTTTTTTTTCCCATTGGCTCAAGCATGTTTGACCTTGTTGCCTTTCTTGGGAGAAGTCACCGATGGGGGCAGTTGGCACCTTGGACTACCCTCTCTTAAGATCTTCCTTGTACAGATGAAAAACCTCCCAAAGCTCACATTCTATTGTTATTTAAAGAGAGGGGCACCCTACTTGGCCACCTCTGTTCTCCCCTGGGAAAAGGAACTCTCAGGTAGCCTTTGGGAATTTTTTTTTTAGGGCCTCATCTAACTCAGGCTGGCCTGAACTTACTATGTAGCTAAAGCTGGCCTTTAGTTCTCCGTCTACCTCCTAGGTGCTATTATTTTAAGCCAGAGTGGCCTTTGGTAATTTCATTATAGAATGGGTGAGAAGGAGGAGCATCCATGCATAGTAAGCCAGTAGGTTCCTGTTGAGCTGTTTTCTCCAGGGTTTGGGAGATGGAAGTCAATACCTGATCCTCCTGGGGCCCCCCTTGGTCAGGGTTTTTGTGAACCAAAGTAGGATCCTTTTGGTTATTTTCCAAGATGTTTGTGGCAGGGAGATATTGAAGCTGGGAAACTGGGAACTTGAGTCCATCCCTAGCCACAAAATGAGGTCCACACTGGAGTATCCCTGTGACAGGACAAGCCTAGCCTACCTGCTTATAAACTGCCTGAAAGAGCTGGGGAATCCCATTACCAGAACACTAAGAAAAGCTAGGCCAGAACAGGGTGCTGCATCTTTGAAGAGGAGTTCTCTGGGCTGAGATACTTGTCCTCCCTGAACCCTGAGCCTTGAAATTGGAGCATAGAGGCTGTCTTTCTTGGTATACCTACACACACACACACACACACACACACACACACACACAGGTACTCCTCATCATCCAAGTTGTAAGGAGCCGCCATTAGAAGATGGCACCTGTTTCCTGTGTCTGAGGTGGAAAACAACTGTATTCAGGGTTGTAAACACCTGCTGTGAGCATGCGTATCTTTCAGACCCGTCTCCTCACCCTCCCGAGCGGTATGCTAATGAAGTTCTGCAAGAAGCACCAATTAGACACTTATACACAGTTGTGATAACTAAGCAGCACCCATTTCGGGCTTCGGGGTCTTTCGCTTTGCAATCAAGAGTAGTTCCCCAATAAAGTGCGTGAAGAAGAATCCTGTTGTGGCGTCTTCCTTGCTGGTGAGGTGGGCGTGACACCAAGTGATCTCACCAGTAAACATAAGGACCAGAGGCACTTTTGAGGACATAAGGCATTGACAGTATATGTGAAATACTCCAAGATTAGCTTCAGCTGTTTCTGGAGGTGACAATTTGCCTGGGAGCCAGGAGCAAGAGAGGACAGACACTTCCCTTACATTCTCCCCTACCTCTGCTTTATTTGTTAGGCTTCTCTGACTGGGTGTGGCCTGGAGCTGGGATGTCTTGCTTGATCACCTTTCAATCTTTTTTGGTGTGAGAATTGAGGGGGCTCTATTCTAGAACATTCTGTTCTCTTCGCCAGGACCCATACCCACCGGGACCAATCAGTGTGTATTGGGGATGCAGCTCCAGTTCCTTTATAGAGGAGTTGGAACCGCCTGACTGTTTTTAGCCACAGCTTTTACCAGTTGGAGGTCATCTGGCTATTGGGAATCCTGGTCCAGTCTCACAAGGGCCACTATCTCACAATCACTGTTAATTAACTGTTGCCCCACCAGGAGTCCTTCTTCTCAGACCCACTAGGCATGGCATAGCGAGGTTCCCCCACAGGGGAGCCACTACCTAAAAAGATCCACACCAAAAAAGATTGAAGGTGATCAAGTAAGACATCCTAGCTCCAGGCCACACCCAATCAGCTAATGAGCCCAAGGTACTCATTGGCTTGGCTTGTCCTTAGCTAACCAACTTGCAACTTGAAGGTGATTCAGAAGGACCTTTCTCTGGGGACTGCATCACGAGTACTGGAGGGGGAAATTGTATTGGTCAGAGATGAGCAGGAACTAGTTCCTCCTTGCAGTGTAGCCTGTGCCTGTGCTAACCTCTTAGAAGACAGGCCTAGGAACTGACAGTGGAGTGACAGACTGTAGAAGTTGGCCCTGTATCTGTTGAAGAGTCAAGATAGATCACCAGCCTCTCCATGCTGTGCCTTTTTGCAGAGGTCAGGCTGATAGGCCTCATGTAAGTAGAGGAAGCTACTAGCTGGAAGGGGTAAGCAACCAGGTAATGAAGATGTCCTACTTTTCCAGGGCCCTTTGTTGGGACTTATGGTAGGGGCTGCTTCTGGGCCTGAATGAAATATGTGGGGGAAAGTCTGGGAGATTTGTACACAGCTTCCTAAAGTGAAGGAAATCATTTGGATTCACTTCCCTGGAGGTGTGCCACAGAGAGTTGACAGCCCCCACCCCCCACTACCATCTTAACTAAATAGAAATCCTGCTGAGAGGAGACCTGAGAGACTGGGCCTGAGAGATGCAGCCCAGCTCCTCCCAACTCCTTAGAAAGGGGTGATGGAATCACTGATCATAGGGGTCCCGCCCCGTCCCACCCCACCCCGCCCCATCCCGTCTTCCAAGTGGTGGAAGTGCCCTGTGTGAGTCCTCCCCCTGGAGCCTGAGCAGCCTAGGAAGGAAGGAGGTCTCTTTTGGTGGCAGGGTTGCCGGCAAGGGCACTGAGCAGGAGGACAGGTCGGGGGAAAAAAGTTCTGGCTCCTCCTGCAGACATGCACCAGCGGCTGCTGGGCTCGTCCCTGGGCCTCGCCCCCGCGCAGGGGCTCTGAATGCCTGACGCCATCCCCATGAGAACACTGGCCGGGGCTCCTATCCCTAAGCCTCTGCTTGCGGAGACTGAGCCATGTGGACCTGGGGCTGGGCCACTGCAGCCCTCCTCTGGCTACAGGCTTCAGGAGTCCGGGCACGGCAGGAACTCAAGAAGCCTCGGCAGTTGGTTGTGCGTGTGAATTCCTCCAATATTACCACATCCAGCCATGAGGGATTCCCAGGCTCCATCAAGGTAGGTAGAGGCTGGGGAGCATATAGGTGTGTGTGCAGCTCTAGGCACAGCGTCAAAACTCAGACTGTCCCTCTACCTCGACGGTTCTGATGTCCTGTTTCCAGGTTGCACTGCATGAGACCTTGACCACTGGTCCTGGCTTAGAGTTTGCTGCAGCAGGGACAGGGCCTGGCCTGTAGGGGAGCCTCCCTCTGCCATGCCTGGTGGGTCTGAGAAGAAGAGGGACTCCTGGTAGGGCAACAGTTAATCCTTTGAAGCCTCAATGTGCTTTTCAGCAATTTGTTGGTATTGGGTATAATTGCTATCTCAGGTGAGGGTGGAAACGGACTTTGGGCATCCTGGTAAATGAATGAATGGGTTGCTTTATGTAAAACTCCTAAATAGGTAATAGCCTGACTAGCCTGTACCCTGTGCTTTCTAGGAGTCCTGTGGCAGTCTCAT